AAAAATTTTTTAAGAGACAAGGTTTTGGCTGGGTGCGATGGCTCACGCCTATAATCCCAGAACTTTGGGAGGCAGAGGCAGGTGGATCACCTGAGGTCAAGAGTTTGAGACCAGCCTGGCCAACATGGTGAAATCCCATCTCTACTAAAAATACATTAGCCAGGCATGGTGGTAGGCACTTGTAATCCCAGCTACTCTGGAGACTCAGGCAGAATTGCTTGAACCCAGGAGGCTGAGGTTGCAGGGAGCAGAGATCGCACCATTACACTCCAGCCTGGGCAAAAAAAAAACAATTAATAATAAATAAAAACAAATAATCTTAACAAATTTCAAAAGACTGAAATCATAGAAAATATTCCCCAGGCCGGGCGCAGTTGCTCACGCCTGTATTCCCAGTACTTTGGGAATTTGTGAAAAGTGCAAAAGCTGTACTTAGAGAGAGAGAAATTTGCATCTTTGAATACTTAAAAAGGAAAAAAGGTTCAAAAACAATGATCTAAAGTTTCCATCTAACAATATGAGCAAACTAAATCCACAACAAGTAGAAAGAGGAAATCACAAAGAACAGAAAACAATGAAATAGAAACAAACACTAAAGAAAATTACACATGACCAAGGTTTATCCCAAAAATGCAACACTGATTTACCATTGGAAAATACAATGTAATCTACCACGTAACAGTTCCTAAGTGAGAAACTATATGATTATCTTAATAACTGCCAGAAAAAAAATTTGACAAAATGTGTCCCCATTCAGGATAAAAACCCTCAGGAAACCAGAAATGGAAGGGAGTTTTCTCAATCTGATAAAGGGCACTATAAAGAAATTTGGAGTTAACATCATACTTAATGGTCAAAGACTGGTCCTAAGATCAGGAACAAAGTTTTTGCTCAGCCTTGAACTGGATGTTCTTTTTTTTTTTTTGAGACGGAGTTTCGCTCTTGTTACCCAGGCTGGAGTGCAATGGCACGATCTCGGCTCATCGCAAGCTCTGCCTCCTGGGTTCAGGCAATTCTCCTGCCTCAGCCTCCCGAGTAGCTGGGATTACAGGCACGCGCCACCATGCCCAGCTAATTTTTTGTATTTTTAGTAGAGACGGGGTTTCACCATGTTGACCAGGATGGTCTCGATCTCTCGACCTCGTGATCCACCCGCCTCGGCCTCCCAAAGTGCTGGGATTACAGGCTTGAGCCACCGCACCCGGCTGAACTGGATGTTTTTATCAGAGCAATAAGAGAAAAAAATATTTATGTAAATGATACAAGACAACAATTGTTTCTATAGTTAATACATTGCTAACATGGAACATTGTAAGGGAGGAAACTCAACTAGAATAAGTAAATTTAGCTGCGTCTCAGAAGACAAGGTTAATATACAAAAATTATTTTTACATACTACCAGCAAACAATTGGAAAACTTTAACCATAATTCCACTAACAATGACATCGAAAAGTAAAAGATCCAGGAATACACTGAACAAACAACATGCAAGATCTGGCTGGGCACAGCGGCTCATGCCTGTAAATTCCTGGTACTTTGGGAGGTCAAGGCAGGAGGATCACCTGAGGCCATGAGTTTGAGACCCGCCTGGACTCTCTCTCTCTACAAAAGAATGAAAAATTAGCCAGGTGTGGTAGTGCATATCTGTAGTCCCAGCTGCTTGGGAGATTTAAGGCAGAAGGATCATCTGAGCCCAGGAATTCAAGCCGGCAGTGAGCTATAATTCTGCCACTGCACTCCAGCCTGAGTGACAGAGCAAGGCTCTGTTTCAAAACAAAACAAAACAAAACAAAGAGAGAAAAGAAAATGGAAGAAAAAATGCAAGATCTATACATTGCTGAGAGAAATTACACATCACCTAAATAAATGGAGAAATGTATATTGTGCTCATGGATTGAAAGACTTGATACTGTTATATGTCAATTATCCCCAAAGGATCTATAGATTAAATGCAATCCCAATCATAAATCCATTAGGCTTTTTTGAAGAAACTGAGAAACTGACTCTAAAATTTATGTGGATCTTTGAGCCTCCCCCTGCCAAAAAATAAATAAATTTACATGGAAATATAAAGGCCTTAAAATAGCCAAAATCATTTTGAAAAGGAAGAACAAAGCAGGAAGACTTACAATACTGTCTGACTTCAATATTTATTACAGAAGTACATAATCAAGGCAACTGAATACCTATATGGGGCAAAGAAAAAAAAAAAAAGGATCTTGATCCCCTATCGCACTGAGATTAATCATAATCCTAACAGTGAAGGCTTCCAGAACACAGGAGAATATGTTTATGACCTAGGGGGCAGGCAAAGATTTCTTAAAAAGGACATCTGTTGGTGAGGATATGCAGCAACCCTCACTCTAATATTTTGTTGATGGGGTGTAAAATGGTGCAGTATTTTGGAGAAAGGTTTAGTGTATATATACATATATATATATATATATATATATATATATATATATATTTTTTTTTTTTTTTTTTTTAGTAGAGACGGGGTTTCACCATGTTGACCAGGATGGTCTCGATCTCTTGACCTCGTGATCCACCCGCCTCAGCCTCCCAAAGTGCTGGGATTACAGGCTTGAGCCACCGCACCCGGCTAGGTTTAGTATATTTTTATAAACATTCACCTACCGTTTGACTCAGTAATTTCACCCCTAGGTAATTATCCAAGAACAACGAAAACAAATATCCACAAAAGTTACTGTATACAACAATATGGACAGCAGCTTTATTTATACTAAAATCTGGAAGCAACCAAAATAGCCACCTTTCAACAAGATAACAGAAAAACAAATTATGATATAGGCATTCACTGGAATCAGCAATTCAAAGGAATAAATTACTATCATATACAACATGAATCTCTCAGACATAATGCCGAGCAGACGCCAGATACAGGAGTACATCCCATATAATTCCACTCATATACACTAAGCTCTAGAATTGGCTAAACTAAACTAGTTTTTAAAAAATTAGGAAACTACTGCCTGGGGTGGACAGGAGACTGGTACAGGACAGGAAGGAACGTTCTGGAGATGAGGAAATGTTTATGGGGATGCGCATGGATATATTTGTGGTATTTCAATATATGTAAATTTTACCAAAAAAAACTTTTCAAAAAAACAGTAACTCAAGTAGGAGGTTGGGGAATGGCTGAAAGTATATGAAACAAGAATGGCAGAACCTTAAGTGTTAAAGCCAGGTGATGGGTCCATGGAAGTTTATTAAATTATTCTAATTTTGGTTGTACTGGTGTAATAAAAAGTAAAAGCAAAACTTACAGATTTTAGTGGAGAACAAGTTAAAAAGTAAAACTGTTTTGTAGCTTCCAACCACCACCAAAAACAAAAAAGTTACTATAATTTCCTGTAGCATTGAACAGAGATATAGTAATTAGCACGGCTACAGTGAAGACTGTAGTTCCTGCCTATACTCCGTGCACGTTAAAGCAAGGAGAATGGTGAGGAGGACAGGGTATTTACATACTCTATGAGGAACTAGGGAAACGCATTAGGGATGACGCCTTTTCCTCTTATTTTAATCCAAATTAAAAGAGAGAAGTGGAGGGTTTTGTGGGAAATTTTTAAAAAAGAATTCAACAAAAATGCAGAGTCATGATAAAAACTGTAAAAAAGCTGTAAACTCAGCCGGGCGCGGTGGCTCACAACTGTAATCCCAGCACTTTGGGAGGCCGAGGCGGGTGGATCAAGAGGTCAAGAGATCGAGACCATCCCGACCAACATGGTGAAACCCCATCTCTACTAAAAATACAAAAATTACCCGGGCATGGTGGCGCACGCCTGTGGTCCCAGCTACTCGGGAGGCTGAGGCAGAAGAATCGCTTGAACCCAGGAGGCGGAGGTTGCAGTGAGCCGAGATCGCGCCACTGCACTCCAGCCTGGCGACAAAGTGAGACTCCGTCTCAAAAAAAGTAAAAAAAAAAAAAGCTACACACCCCGAAGTAAATATTTTGGCTCACGTGGTTATGAAGAGTATGCATGTCATATTTTTGGAAGTTACCATAAAAATGAGTGTCTTCGGAATTCTGGGCCGAACTGAACATGTGTAGCTGAATCTTTCTTAACAAAGTAGTAATACAAATTATAAAATTAATCTCAGTATGCAGCCCTGCCCCAGGTACTCTCCCTCCTTGTCTCAAAGAATACTGATTATCATAGACCCACCTCAGACCTAAATACTGTGAAGGAATCAAAGTATGAAACACAAACCTTATCCCCCCGGAAAGTTACAATTTAGCTGCAAAGGCAAGATATGCCTAGAAAACAAGCCATTACCACACAGCACTACTTGGTTAAGTGCTCGGAAAGGGTACAGATACGATGTACTTTTTAATGAACATTCTGCTTTGGTGGTTTCAGCAGGCTGCCTTGAAGTTTGGGAACTTAAATTGAGACAAAGAATTTAGGCAGGGTGAAAAATAGGATGGGAGGCGGGCAGGCACTGCCAGAACAGAGGAACCCGGTAAAGCAGACAAAGTGACAGCATAATGTGGAAAGAAGTCTGAATTTTGTCTCCAGTGAACCCCCAACATCCCTCCAACGCCTCTGTCAGGCTGTCTGCTCTTGGGCTTCCCAAAACTTCAGGTCAGCGGTTCCTAAAGTGGTCCCCGCACAAGCGTACGTCACCAACCAGCTAGGAACGTCATCTGTCAATTCGGGGGACTCCGCGGGACTGAGGGCAGCAGTCTGTCTGTTCACATGGGCGCAGGTTACCGCGCACGCTCAAGTTTGAAAAACGCTTCTCGAGGGCGCCCGCTACGCAGAACCCTCCGCACAGAAGTGGGGACGTTCCCAGTGCCCCAGAGCCAACTCGCAGGGAGCCGAGAGCGGGTCCCGGGCCTGTAAGAGTTCAGACTCTGCCCCGGTTCCGCCTTCTCATCCCGGACACCTTCTCCCAGTCACTGTCCCTCTGCCTGCTCCTTCCGTGGGACTCTGACCGGAGAGGGCCCGCTCCCGCCCCTCTGTCGCCCTACCTCAGCGTCAGAGGGGACGTGGTGCCGGCAGGGAGGGGAACTGCCCAAGGAGACGGGAGTAGACGTGGCGCTTGCCCGCAGCCCGCCCAACAGGAGGAAAACGCTTCGGACCCACAAAGAACCGCTCCAGCGCCACCGGCTCCGGCCGGGGCCTGAACCCGAGTAACCGGCTCCTCCGCCCCACTCGACCGCCATCTTCGGGCCGAGCGTCGTTACCATGGAGTGCGTGACGCCTCTGCGCCCGCGCCGGCCCCGCCCCTCGCCGCTCGGGGCCGACGGAGGCCCGGCCCGGCCCGGCGGGAAGCTGCCTTCCGATTGGACGGCGTCACCCGCCGGCAGTGCCCGCACAAGGTGAGGGCAGCGGTCGCTTCACCGCGTCGCGTCGCGCGCAGCCGGCCGATAAACGCTGCTTGGCGGCCCACGTGCGTTGGGCTGCGGGCGGAAGAAAGGCTGACGGGCTTTGGGAGTAAGTGAGTGTCCGAGGGAGTTTTTCAGGTCCTTCATTTACCAAAGTGATGCGCACCTACTAGGTTCCGGGTGCCTAGACGGACATCTGACCCTCTGCAGAATCTTTCGGTGTGAAAAGGCGAGTGGAATACTCTCATTCACTTATCCGGAGTCACCAACTTTAGGCCCCTTAGTTAAACAAGGCCGTTTCCTATAAAATCAATGATACGCCCTTTACTGTTTGCTTAACCCCATCTTTTAATTTCCAACCAAGAATTGCCACCGCACCTGAGATAAGGGGCAACCTGGCCATTAAGGGAACGCCTTCAAAACCGGGCCGTAAGGAACTATATTAAATGGGAAATAGGGACAAATCCCCGTGGCTCATGACACTAAAGTAAATATACAAACTCAAACACGCGAGCTCTAAGTCATTCTATGGGAATTGAATAGGTTAACTACTATACTGGGAAACGAAGGGGTAGGAGAGGAGGAAAATCTCGAGTTACAAACTATGGGTGGAGATTATAGACTCAGATACAAGGATGCGGTGGTGTCTTTAAGTATTACCATTTTACAAGTAAAGACTCACTAGTGTGTCTACCATCCCACGGCTGGTGGAAGTTGGGATTCCAAACCACATTTCTGACTTAGGAAACGTGCTCTTTCCACCACAGTACCACAAATGAATTGCTGTTGTGAATAAAGAATGGAACCAGTCATCTTAAGCTCCTATCTCTAACAATAATATTATGCTAAAGAAAGGCTTTTTTTTTTTTTTTTTTTTTTTTTTTTTGAGACGGAGTTTCACTCGTTATCCAGGCTGGAGTGCAATGACGCTATCTTGGCTCACTGCAACCTCTGCCTCACAGGTTCAAGCGATTCTCCTGTCTCAGCCTCCCAAGTAGCCATGATTACAGGTGCCCACCACCACGCCCGCCAATTTTTGTACTTTTGGTAGAGATGTGGTTTTACCACATTGCTCAGGCTAGTCTCCCCTGCCCTCAGGTGATCTGCCCACCTTGACCTCCCAAAGTGTTGAGACTACAGGCGGAAGCCACCGCGCCCGACCAGGAGGAATGGCCATTTCAATGTCAGTGGACAAGCGGCCAGCCAGGCAAGCCCTTTCTTGTAAACCACGGGACTCTTATTGTGGCAACACTGACCTGAGTACCTTTGACTTAATCTCCGTATGGGAGCAGAAAAACACATTATTTACAAATGCTACACCATCCCAGTAACAAATAGCATGTATTTATTTTCGAAGCTCATTTACCATTGCACATGTAAGTTACTCAAGTTACCCCAGTCTCGACCTTTTGTTTTCACTTACTGCGTAAGCACCTCCATTGCTCTCGTGTAGTCCACTCAATTCACTTCCCCCTATGTCTAACCCAGACCTGAAATACCCATCTGTCTTCATGGACATGTCCACAGGTAAACATCTTATTGCTTCTTCAAATTCAACTGTGCTCCTCTCACAAAACCATCTCCTGGTTCCCCAGCTTTGTAAATGCAACATTACCCAGCCAGCTCCCGCAGCCAGAAACATGTTTCTAATTCTCAATTTGAGACTGAAGGGCCCACCTGATTTCCCTTGTTTATGCTGGGCTGCCATTGGGATTTAAAATGTTAATCTGTAACACGGTGGTTTCCGAAGGGGGGAAGAAAAGCAAAAAAATAAAATGTTAATTTGAGCTGGACATGGTGGCTCACATCTGTAATCCCAGCACTTTAGAACAAGGCAGGGGGATCACTTGAGGCCAAATTAGAAACCAGCCTGGGTCCCTCCAAAAATTCTTAATTAGCTGGACGTGGGTAGCATGCACATGTAGTCCCAGACTGTCTGGAGACTTTGGGCACAGGATTGCCTGAGCCCAGTTCAAGGTTGCAGTGAGCTTTGATCACACCACTGCAGTGCAGGCTGGGCAACAGAAACCCTGTCTGAAATGAATAAATTTTTAAATTACAAAACTGGTCTCTCCTGCAGATCAGATTCTTCAGTGACATTGTATTACAAGAACAATCTTAAGCCTAAGATCCTCAGTACAGTACAAAAGACCTCTTATGTGGCATTTCTTCGTTTTCTGGACTTTCCAGTCAGCCAATCCGTTAGGCTGGTTCAACTGCCTTCTGTGTTCCTAAGATCTTCCTGCCCTTTTCTCTTCGAGGCACTAAGAAGTTTCATTACACAGCAAGTATACCTGCATGCCTCTATCCCTGAATACCCTGAGTACTGATCACATCTACTTAACTGGCACAATGAACACAACAGGTACTTTTAGCTTATGTTGGCCTTTCGGAGTGGGTGTCCAAGATCAGCACTTCCTTCCCCAACTTCGAAATTCCCAAGTTCAATTCATTAGCATTTTAATAACCCACTTCCAACTTCTGGCCATGCTTATGTCTGGTGAATACAGCAAATGCACCGTTTGCCTTAAAACCACAATCTCAATAAATGAGCCTAGGAGCAGTGCAAATACAAGCCCATGTCCATGAGGCACAGGACTCCAACAATGGCAACTTTGGCCTGCATACAATCATTGGACTGACCAAACCTAAATAACTGACGTGACGGGGACCTTTGGGGGAGGTGGGCTTCTTGCTTTCTCTTGGGTCCGTGTATCTCACTACCCTCTTTGTAGGTTAGCAGATTTTAACAGGGTGGCTACTGGAGGAAGGGGAAGTGGAAAAGCTGGGACAGTATTTGCACTTTCCCTTTCTACAAGTTTTCCCTCAGTCCTGCCTCCAGGAGATGGAGGAGCAAATAACACAGCCAGTGTGCTCTTCCTACCTAATCCTTTCTTCTACCTTTCCCCCAATACATTACCAGCATGTTAATCATTTTTTAGCATAGACAAGAGAACCCATACACATTTCAAAACTGCAAAAGGGCTTAGAATGGCAAACTCTGTTTCTTGTTGACATTTTCAGTGCAATTTAAAGATCTGTTAATTTAAAAAACTATCCGTGCTATAGACAACACTAACCTTCAGGAGGGGGAAAAAAAACAACTTACTCCATCAATTAGAAATCTACAACCTGAGGCCGGGCGCGGTGGCTCAAGCCTGTAATCCCAGCACTTCGGGAGGCCGAGGCGGGTGGATCACAAGGTCAAGAGATCGAGACCATCCTGGTCAACATGGTGAAACCCCGTGTCTACTAAAAATACAAAAAAAATTAGCTGGGCATGGTGGTGCGCGCCTGTAATCCCAGCTACTCAGGGGGCTGAGGCAGGAGAATTGCCTGAACCCAGGAGGCGGAGGTTGCGGTGAGCCGAGATCGCGCCATTGCACTCCAGCCTGGGTAACGAGCGAAACTCCGTCTCAAAAAAAAAATTCTACAACCTGGGAAACATAGTGAGGCCCAGCTCTACAAATAACTAAATTTAACTGGGTGTGGCAGCACACGTGCCTGTGGTCCCAGCTATTCAGGAAGCTGAGGCAGGATTGCCTGAGCCCAGGTTGAAGCTGCAATAAGCTTGTAATCATGCCACTGCACTCCAGCCTGAGAAACAAAACAAGCCCTTGTCTCAAGAAAGCTGACACCTTCCCATGCACTATTCCCAACCTCCATATACCTACCATAGGACTGCTTTTTACAAATGGAGTAATATGGCTTAATTCTGTTTAATACTGGAATAGTCTGTCAAGTCCCAAGAGCTTCTCATCCCAGTCTATCCAAATGAACTACCAAAGCCCATCAACATAATTTCCATTCAAATTATTCCCAATTCCGCCGGGCGTAGTGGCTCAAGCCTGTAATCCCAGTACTTTGGGAGGCCGAGGCGGGTGGATCACAAGGTCAAGAAATCGAGACCATCCTGGTCAACATGGTGAAACCCCGTCTTTACTAAAAATACAAAAAATTAGCTGGGCATGGTGGCACGTGCCTGTAATCCCAGCTACTCAGGAGGCTGAGGCAGGAGAATTGCCTGAACCCAGGAGGCGGAGGTTGCGGTGAGCCAAGATCACGCCATTGCACTCCAGCCTGGGTAACAAGAGCAAAACTCTGTCTCAAAAAAAAAAAATTATTCCCAATTCCTACTTTTAAGTTTCCCAACCAATCTGTACTGAACAAATGCACAGTATTACAAAGCACTTAGCAGGGTGTGGTGGGTCACATCTATAATCCCAGCATTTTAGGACAAGGAGGGAGGACTGCTTGAACCGAGTTTGAGGCCAGCAAGGGCAAGAATCAGACCCTCTCTACAAAAAATTTTAAAATGAGCCAGGCATGGTGGCATGAGCCTGTGGTCCCAACTACTTGAAAGGCCAAGCTACACTGCTTTATCCTTTGAATGTGAGGCTGAAGTGAGTGCTACTACACTCAGCATGGGCAACAGAGCCAAGGCTCTGTCAAAGATACCCACATTAAAACCCATTACCTTCTAAATCTCTGTACTCGCCCTGTAATTTTCATCACGTCTCTCTGACCTCCTTATACTCCAAAAATACTGGACAACCTCCATCATTTTAAGCATGTAGCAAATCAATTTAACATAGTAAGTTTTTTAATCCACTTAACAAAAATACAAGAGCACGAATCCACATTTATTTATTGACTTTTCATTAGTTCTAAATCCTGGAGGGGTACAGCATCTGTGAGGGAAAAAAGAACATATAAAACATTAGATGAATATGTTTACAAATATTATCAAGAACCATAATATGGATATATCTCTGAAAGGCAACCAACGACACGTTCTAGTGGTAAGGACAGTTTTTATAACCTTCGGTTTCTAAATGAACATGCTTTAAGAACCAAGTCTTAAAA